ATGTTAAAACAAAATATACTATAATAATTATCCTGATTTTCAAAAAAAATTTTTATAATATATTCATCAAATTATAAAAATTTAATTATATATTGCTTATTTTTAGATACAGAAGTAATAAATTTTTAGTAAAGCATATAATGAAGAAAAAAAACAGGTAAATATATTTTAATTTAATTTAAAAGTTATAATAATAGTTTATATCTCTATTAATTTGTATAATCAATAAATAGCATGAAGATAATGAAAAAGACCAAAATAAAATAATTATTAAAGATAATATTACCTATATAATTAATAATTGTGTAAGTTTTAAATAAATAGATCTATTATCTTATTTTATATAAATTATAAAATCTAATATTATAATTTTAATAGAATAATGTAGTGAATAATGGTTGTTCTATAGAAGTTGAAGAGGTATTAAATGAAGTTTATAAATATTTACAAAAATTTGATTTATCTTCTATAAAATCAGATGATCCAATAGCATCTGAAATTTTAGATATTTGTGAAGGAGTGGATAAAGTGATAGATAATTTATCAATAGAAACAATGCAAATTCTTGCAGATATTAAAATAGATGATCTAGAATTCTCAGAGGACATAAATAATATGTTAAATGAATTTATTAATATATATAATTTATTAGAATCTAACTTTGATCCAGCTTTTGTTAAACCTATTTCATTTTCACAAAATGAAAAAAATTTAGATAAGCGTAGAATATTATTAACAATATTTGATCTATTAAAAGGATTGTAAGTATGAATATACTAGTTAAATATCTTTAAATTTTTTGATTAAATAATTAATTAAGCTTAAAAACTTAATTTAGAAGAAACTGTTGGAGTTTAAGACCATTGTTAGATGAAAGTAAGTATAGTGAAAATTCTTATGCAATTCATGTAGTCTCTAGAGTAGTAAATCTGATATTTAATTATTATAAATGGAATCTTAAACGTGCATGGTATATAAGTTTAAAAATTTAGTTTTATTATTTCTTTAATATTCTTATAATAATACATCTTATTTTATCATTTTAGGGAAAAAGTATCTAAAATAGAAAAGAGTCAATGCATTCTATTCATTCAGGAGATAGACCTGATTTGCAAGTTCTTTTAATGCTCGATTCTGATGAGTGTGAATTAGTATTTACAGAGATTTCACAATTAGGTTCTCATTCAAATAAACAGAATTACGATTGGAAAAAATTAAATCGTTTATGTAAAGATGGATTTGATACAAGAATAAGAGAATTATTTAAAGAAAAAAATGTTGAAACTAATGAAGCAAAATGTTTGATGAATGAACTTCTTCAAA